TGTGAGCATTTTTATGAATAATAGAACTTTCTACTTGGTGCATTCGCTACTAACGAATTTTCGTGCACGAGAGATATCGATGCATCTACGTGTAACGGAAGTAAGTCCCTTAATATGCGTATGACATATTAAAAATATATAATCAAATTAAATAAATAATATATATACTTTGAACAGAAATTTTACGAGCTCTTATCATAGTAAAAATGATAACAAAAAAATTTACATGTAATTAAATGTAAATAAAAATGTTGTAATTATGTGTTTCGTGTCTACAGAAACTGAGATTAATAAAAATAATTTAGAACTATTTTTGTAATTTAAATTGATTGATTAAATAAAATAATATAGTTAAAATCATTGAATCTGTGTGTATATATTCTATATATCGAAGTTTTGTTAAATTTTTTATTTCATTCGATATGTGTATTATACATTATATTAAAGTAGGTTTGTGCATCATGATACACATTAAAATGTTTAAAACAGGATGACTTACTTCCTGATTACCACGTGTACGCGTTCGAATGTGTATACATAAATATGTGTGTATACATATATATAGATATACATAATAAATATCTATGTATATAACGTTTTGGAAGAACAGATTTGTATATTGCGATAGCGCAAAGAGAATTGGAACGCCTTATCGAGGTAACGCCTTACTGAGAATCCCTTACAATCAGATATGTTACTATAGCCATCAATATTATATAAATTTTTGCATATTATGGATTAATATTGTTCTCTCGCATCGTAATTAATTTCGTTACGTTACTAAAAAATTATCAAATAATAATAATAATAATTTCATAATAATATAACTTATTATTACATATTATAAATAATAACATATTGCGCGTAAAAATATTATACCTCTTATTTCTAACAAGGAAATGCACGGAAATGTTTCCGATTTTGATGAGCTTCTAAAACGTTGTATAAACTAAAGTAAAATAAGAGAATTTTTGTGTAACTACATTTTCACAATCACACATTTAGAGAGAAATATTATATTCTTTTTAAACGAATATCATCGAAACTATAAAAAATAGAAAATATTTTTTTTAATAAAAGATTTTAAGAGTACTTTATAATAATAAATCAGTGGCAACAATAATTTTTTATTTTTATTTACATAAATTTTATTTAATTTTATATAAATTTTATTTATGTATTTATTATACTTCAATATACTTCATTATTTTACTATACTTCACTACTTTTATATACTTTTACTACTTAACACTTTTAAAATACAAATTTAATCATGATAAAGATATTTTCTACAAAATATTATTTTCAGAGAATTAACGCCTCTATAGATATTATCTGTATCATACATTCTTGTAGACGAGAAAATGATACAACTAACAAAAATACAAGTACCAGGTATAAATATGAAACTATATTGCAACACAAGTACTCCAATCTCACGCCTGTATGTAACGAAGCAATTTTGGCGTCAGGTCTTTCAAAGCCTACACTGTCACATTCTGGAGTTAGGGTCACAATCAAACTAATTTCACAATTAAACTAATTTTACAATGATACGTGTAGATAGATATAAAAGACTGCTAACCCAGCGAGAATAACTCATCGAATCGATGTCGATTTGATGTTAAATTAATCATTTCTGCCATTCTCGGTCATTTCCGATTATGAAAGAATTTTATGAAATATTTTTTGAACATTTACTCATGCCTTTAGATTTAAAAGTTAAACTTTATTCAAGAGATTCTATTTTAAAATTACAATTATTAACACATTTTCAATTTGTCAAGATTTAGTAATTTATTTAAATATGCATGGTATAAAAGTGATTATTTAGATTTTAAATCAAAAGACTTTAATACACCTATAAATTTTTGTTTAAACAAAAGCATTTAAAAACAACATGCAATATTTGCGGCGGCATTAAAGGATGATATAAAAAATCTCTTTGTATACAACATTTTTGTTACATCTTTGTTTTTAAACCATAAAGGAATGAAATCAATTATATTTGCACTTGTAACTTTATTCATATCACTATTACTGTATTGTAACACAATCATATTATTATAATATAACACAATTTTGTTGTATCACTCTCTTTTATTTGTATATATATAATAAAAAATCATCTATATTATATTTATAAATAATCAAATAATGTTAATAATAAAGATTTATTTCTTTTTTCTTCTTCTTTCTTTATGTGTTTGAGACAAAACGATCAGTTGCTGTGTGATAACTTCTCATATTCGGAATCTAAGTCGAGAAATAATCTTGAGAGTGAGAGTCTTGATTCAACTGTACGAGAGCTGTGCGTTTGTGTGAGACTTAATTATTCACTTCTCTGGAAACTCATATTCCACTGATTCTGAAATTATTCTTTTACACATAAAATGCTCGACATCGAATGTGTCACTGTTGTCATGTTCGATATTATACGTATGTTATGATCGACGTCTTATATTGCGT